TCTTTTTGGACGCTTGTTGACTCACGCTTGATGTATTGCGTACGTGAATTACGTTTCGTTCCCGCGCTCAGGTGTTTGTTTCGTCATCATCATAGGGTCACTAGTACACTGTGAGCTGAACATTGGACAAGCTTACTTTTATTTAAAGTATGACCGACGTGGAAAAGGGAAAACAAGCTGCAGCGACGGCCGCTGTCGACGAGTGGTTAAAGGTCGGTTGTTTATCTTTTTATTTTTTGCATGTTTCAGGACAATTTGGCTGTTGGTATTGGTAGCGGAACGACTGTTGTTTACGCGGTGAAGAGAATAAGTACGCAGTGTTTTATTACGTTCATTGTCAGGCGAGCTTGTTAGCAGGAAAAATTGGGAGATTAAATGCGTTCCCTCGTCTTATCAGGCAAATATTAAAATTTTCACATTTCTTTTAGGCCCTCCAACTGATCATGGCGGCTAAATTACCACTTACTACTTTGGATGAGACCCCTGTGGTAGGCAGAAATCGGTCTTGGTTCATATTAATTTTAGCTTGATGTGACTTTCGATGGCGTCGATGAAATGACACCAGATTTTAACTCAATCAAAGGTGGCGGCGGATGTCTGCTACAAGAAAAGATTGTCGGTTACAATGCCAAATCCTTCGTTGTGATTGCGGACGAAAGGTTTGCCCATCCTTTTACTGCCTCTTTTAACATGGTGAAGGGTTTTGCATTGTTTTGATAAATTTTGCATTCAGTTACACAGTTCTTAATTGCATACCCCAATATTTTTAACGTCGGTAATTTGTTGAGGCTCGACGCGATATCGATAATATTGTTTTATTCCCAAATATATAAATATATAGTAGTATGTTTCGTATGTTTATACTGCGTTGGCTATCTTTGCATTGGTTAAAAGGTCCGAAAGGTAATTAACTGCTTGAACCATAGTGACCAAACATACATTTCAGTTAGTGTTCTAAATTTGCCGATTTCTACATATGTGCTTGAAGTTTCAGCATTTGTTATTTTAGCAAACGTGCGTCATACTTGGGAGAAAAATGGAAACGTGGCTTGCCTATTGAAGTGGTTCCCGTGGCCTCAACGACGGTAAAAAATGAAATCGAACGACGGTTCGGTGGTGTTGCGAAATTGCGAATGGCCGTTTCTAAAATGGTATTTCGAACCTCCCTGTATCCTATTTGTTCCCCAGGCGTTGTGAATGTTTTATACCATTTAAATTATCACCATAAGTTGTCCTTTCAGATTGCTTTATCATTAAGTTTATCCATTTTTACGTATTGAGGGTCCCGTCGTAACAGACAATGGGAATTTTCTACTTGACTGGCAGTTTGACGCCAATCCTTCAATTGATTGGAAGAAGATGGATGTCGATCTGCACCTCATCCCAGGTACAAAACATTTTCTAAATTGCCGCTGTACTTTCAAATTTATTCTGGTAGACTATTTTGATTACTCAATTTTCACGTGCGTCCTCAGATTTGCTTCCATTCGACCTAGTTAGTAATGTTCTACCTGCTGTACACATTGCTTTAGTTTACAATTAAATCCAGACTCATTTGTTAGTATTAGGCCGCGATCATTTCAATACTTTCGTTTCAGTTGATATAATCACCTGAAGTTTTTATTGATAGAAAATTTTGTAGATGCGGTATAGTGCTCTTGCAAACATCTGGAAATCACGCTGCCTCTTCAGATTGTGGTATTCTTACGTCGTTTAGTAATTTATTAGCCTCTGATGCTGGAAGCAACCGCAATCCCTAGGTGTGTCCGCAAAACACCATGGGCAACATAATTCACAAATGTGATTCTGGCAGCTAAGATTTTATTACATTGAACATATTATTAAATTGCCTAACGTGTTACTCTGCGGTTGTCGCCGTCGCCAAAATTCACGGTAGTTTACCTCAAAAATGTGCTCTTCATATACAAAAGGTGGTGTGCTTGCGGTTGCATCTGCTTATTCCATTCACCTTTATTAGTTACAGGCCAACGACTTAATGTGCGGTAATCGACATTTTTTCTTCTAAATTTACTATCAGGAAGGTTATTTTCGCTTTAATCAACTGCACCTCGAGCCACACAACATTATATACTTAACTGTCTTATACTTAAGATCACACGAATCCTTAAAGTAAATAGATATATATTAAAATGTATGTGAAGACCAGTTTTTAACATTATTATTCTTATGCCGTTTCATTTCTCAATTATTTGCACGAGGGGCTTTACATAGTTAAAAAAATGAAGTTTCTTCATTTGACACGATTATTCGAGTGTCAACATTGCGCCCTTTAAGAAAATTGTTATTTCTAACCGCCAGAGTAGCATTTCAGATATTTATTTTGCGTTTTCATTAAAGTGAAGGCCTTTTCTTATTGCATAAGTGTTTTAATGAACGCAATATACTGTCTTAGTATTGATTCGAAGTCCTGCCCAAATTTAGGTATATTTCATCAGCGAGGTCAACTACGCAGATAGCATCACCACTGTGACTGATCGTTGAAATTTTTTTCCAATATTTCGTTAATCTCTATTACTTTAACGCTTTCCTTCTTTTATTAGCACCCTTTAACTCTTACTTGTCAGAAGCCAGAGTTTTCAGCCTACTTTCATGTAAGCCTTCCAATAGTTACTATCACGGGTCGTGCTATGTATCGCCCCAGACTGCAAGTACGAGAGATTCGTTTTTTCGCAACAAAAACAATGGAGCCTGTAAAAGATGACAAAAGTACACAATACAGTAGTCGCCGGTTATTAAGCCCACGGTTAATAGGCCCAGCCGCTTATTAAGCCCAATTTGGTCTGGGCCGGTGGTGGGTTTAATAACCGGCT